GCGCATGCGCTAGGATTAATGACATCTCTGAAATTTTGTCATCATTGGGGTTTTAAAACTGCATGTTTTCTCCTGCGAATCGAGAATCAATTTCTTTCGTTTGAAAGTTCCTCTTAGGCGAAACCAGGGGATCTCAACATCAACATGTCAAATTGCTTGGCTGCCCCCCCCCCCCCCACAGCTTTATGCAGTGCTGTTTCCTTGGCATACAAAAAGGGGATGTCTAGCACGATACTTCCCCTGGCCTGACCTCATCCTGAAAGTCTTATCTATCCAGACTTTTTTATGCCTCTTCTAACCCAGGGAAATGCATTCGTTTGGCTGCCATCGTTTATTTGAGAAGAAATGTGGCTCCTGTTGAGCGGAAATGTTATATGCCAATTAGACGGGTACTAGATGGCACATGCAGGACGCATCGCCTGGCATCCCATGATCCACGGAGACTGTTATATTTCTCTAAGCTACAAACGGATCAGTGGCTGGCCCCTTGTCTTATCATGTTATAGCAGGTTTGGATGACTGTGAATATGTGCGTAAAATCTCTTTTCCTTAGATATGCCAAAATATTCGAAACTTCCAGGCAAAGCTTATGATTAACATGCGCCCGGGTGGCCGGCAAGATACCCTTCGCTCGGGTGGGGGTCCATTCACTCCTGAGATATCAATAACTTAGAAAGCTAGAGACACCCACGTTTACAGGGTGTGTTAACCTATACATGAACTCACTTAGATCAAAGTTTTAGGTTTCTAGGTCATGACCTTCGAGTCAAAAAAGGTCAAACAGGGTCAAGTTCCAGGTTGGTCTCAGAAGTGGCCCCAGAACCCAGATAACCGTTCTAAGCTAAAGGTCACATCCGCATTCAAAATCAGTGCCCTTGTTTAACCTTTGAAGGTTAAGGTGACCAAAATAATACAAGATTGCTTTGAGTTTTGCATTTGACTAAGCGACAAAGATTACGCTAGGCAGTATGTTCCTAAAACAAAATGTTGACCTGGGTCATGGTAGGTCAAATGACCCATTATGACCTCTGGTAAGTCCATGGAAGATGTGTAATGCGGTTCCTGCTATCAATAAACTCGAAATGAGCACCAGAAGCTATTCTATACAGCAAGCCTTAGAGCAACAAAACAGGTTGGTTTTGACCTTGGTGTGACCTTCATACCTGACCAGATTGAAGGACTCCCTGAATAGGTTAATGTAATTTCCTCATTCAACTGTTGTGTTGCCTAAGAAAGCATCTTAGAGATGTATGGCTTCGTCTAACACTTCGTTAATGGACCAGATTGAAGGACTCCCTAGAAATTGCCTTCGCTGAAACCATGGCCTGACATTGACATGCCATAGGTCAGCGACCTTACAAGGTACGTATCAATTTCTTATGCCAAACGATTCGCTATTTAATTGTCTACAGCTATGCAAAATCTGTCGCGGCTACGGCCGCGCCGTTCGGAAACCATTTTGGAAAACCTTTCGGAGGGGGGGGGTCAATTTGACCCCCGCTACACGAGTGCGTGTTAGGGGATACAGCGCTGATGGTAATTGAATAATAAAAGCCAGACAAAACATGATTCTAGAAATAAATAACGCAGACAGGAAATGACCACCCCGCCGTACCACAGTGCTTTTAGCAAAAGGAAAATCAAACCAGGTTTTGAGCATTTAGAAATAAATATGTTTCAGCCAGCCTGTTTTGTATTAAATGGGAGCTTCACCAATTCAGCGTTACCTTACCGATAAGCTGCGCTGTTGCTGTGCTGCCGTTCAGACAGGTGTCTCGCCCCGTTCCCACAGATGTCCATCGTCAGGACCTGCGCCAGCTGCCAGTTGTGCAGGTGAACTGGGGTGGAGGATTCCACCCTGGCGGGCTGGATCTGCCATCCGCCTGACATGCACCTCACCGTCAGCTTCATGCAACTTTCTTCCAGTTTTCAGCAACGAAAATACCGTTTCTCTGAAATTGCCCGAGACAAATTATGACACCCTTGCATGTAGCTGTTTGGGCAGTCGTTCTTTGTCTGCGGCTTTGCGATGTGAACAAATTGTAGCCCTCACTATTCATATGATACGGTGACGTAAAAATTGTCATTGCAAAAAGCAATACAAGATAAGTTAGAAATGGGCGTGTAGCCCGCCGGCCCGGCGTCGCGGCAAATCTGAAACTGCACGTTTGCAGGGGAAAGAGCGGAGGCGGTCGAAATAACAAGGACAGGGGGCAATGTGCGAAATGACAAGAGTCGCTGTACGCAGCCGATCAAGAGCGGTCCAGTACAAAAATAGACCGTATATATATATATATATATATATATATATATATATATATATAATATATACAATTATACATACAATTCACAACAGGGCTTGTGAATTAGCGTGGGAACGCCACACCAGAGAACCTGCCTGCCGGGCGCTCATACGGGGCTCACTTCGCAACACATTTAACGGCAACGTTTGTATGGATTCCCGAACATGTCAGGCTCCAGTGATTTAGAGGTCGCGGCAAGTGCATGATAATTGATAGTATTCACATTTACCACGGGATCTCTCACCTCACGTGTCACAATGCGTCTAGTTGCTATGAATTTTAGTTTTGTTATGAGCGAGCGAGTTGCGTGCCTCGTTGCCCTGTAACTTCCCCACTGCGCGCCTGACAACGGTCGCGAAAATTTCCCACGTACAATACAGTTACCCTTATGTCCGCTGGACTGAAAATATTCGGTGGTCATTACTTCTCCTTTCATTTTTTTTTTTTTAATTCTGTTTAACAGCTGACCCACCACTGCTCGCGGCTGTTTTAATACAGCCCTGCGTGTAAGATCGCACTCGCGCCAGTTTCAGCGGGCTGCTTTGCAAACTGATGGCTCACGGTCACGGACAGCTCTGCACATAGATCTAAGCTGACTGCTCGCGGTCACGGACAGCTCTGCACATAGATCTAAGCATTGCCAGGGTCTGACCGATGCCAAACTGGTGCTTGGAAACAATGCGCGCGTTGTTCGCACTTAGCTGGTCCGGATTTTTTCTTCTGTTTTCCATTTGGGGTACCATCATTATCATTTGGGGTACCATCATTACCATTTGGGGTACCATCAGTACCATTGCGCCCTCCCTCGCACACTCTACGTCGTTTCCCCAATCAAAGATGCTTCCGGCAGCGCCGCTGCCTGTCAATACGGGCGAAAAGTCTGGCGGCCACTCTAGGAACTATATTAAACATTCCTCTTTTGGGCATTACCTACAATGAATATTGCGTGCTTATAACATTGTGTACTTAAAGCATTCTGAACTTTAGACTTTTCCGATTCTGGGACATTTCTCAGTTGGAGCATTTTTACTTTGGGTATTCTGTACTTTGGACACTCCGCCCTTCAGACATTCTGTATTTTGGACATGGTGAACAACCCCACTCTGGGCTATTTGAACGTTTTGCCTGCTTTTGGACATTATGCACTTAAGACGTTGCGTGCATTCAATATCATGACATCGCACATTACGTACTTCGGAAAGTCTGTACTCTTAACATTATGAACAACTTCCATCGGGACACGTCGCTTCAAATCACGCTCATTGCTGGTTGAGATGAAATCCCAAGGCAAATAATGTAACACTGTAGTTTGAATATATTTTTTTAGCAAATG